TGTTTGGGGTTATTTATTGAGTCAATCATTCTATCAGATAAAACACATTCCTGGTACTAGGAGCTTCATTTGGTGACGAGAGATTTCCAGTTGGAGCTCTATTTCCCCAATTAGTTGGTGATTTTATTTAGATTTTTTTCATATGTGTATATATTTTAGGAAGCTTCCAGTCTATTAAGTTTCCATATTATCCCTCAACTGTTATAGTTGTCCCTCACTGTGTTGTCTCCTCTGGTCCCTCTTCCCACTCCATCCGCATTTAACACTTCTGTTCTAGTCCCCCCACCTTGTCTATTCCTAACTATTAATTCCATTTCCCCTTGCTAGGGATAGTCATTCCTCCCACCTACTCCCTTAGTCTATACCAAACTTCCGTGGTTATATGGACTGTAGCTTGCTTATCTAAGACTTAAAAGTTAACACCCACATGCAAATAAACACATACCACATTTTTCTTTCTAGATACATGTTATCCAATCAGAATGATTTTCTCCCTAGACCTGTCCATTTACTTGCAAATTTCATTTCATTTTTTAAACTGAGATTTATCCATTGTTAATTATACCACATTTTCTTTATCCATTTATCCAATGATAGACATCTGGGTTGTTTCCAATTTCTGATGAAACAGCAATGAACATGGTTGAAGAAGTACCTTTTTGCGGGTATATGCTCAAGAGTGGTATAGCTGAATCTTGAGCTATATTTATTCTCAAGTTCCTGAGAAACTGCCACACTGATTTTATAAAGACTGTAGAAGGTTACACTCCTACAAGCAAAGAATAAGCATTCTCCTTACCCCACATACTGGCCATCATGAGCTGTTATTTGTTTTTTTAATCTTGGCCATTCTGACTGAGTGGTGGATGAAGAAATTTCAAAGCAGTTTTCATCTATGCTTTGCTAATGACTAAGGATTTTGAACACTTCTTTAAGTGTTTCTCAGTCATTTGTGAATTCCTTTTTTTGAGAATATTATGTTTAGCTTTGTATCTTACTTTTTAATTAGATTATTTTTTTATGCCTGAGTATTTTAGGTCTTGGATATTATCACTCTAATAGGCATGTAGTTGGTAAAAATATTTTCCTATTCTGTAGAATGTCATTTTGAATAATGGTGTCTTTTGCCATGCAGAAGCAATCAGAAGTATGAAGTTTCATAAAGTCCTGATTATTAATTGTTGATCTTAATGCCTGTGATAATGGTGTTCTGCTTAGAAAGTCTTCTCTTGTGCCAATGAGTTAAAGATTATTTTTTATTTTCTCTTCTATCAGACTTAGTGTATATGGCCTTATGTTGAGTTTTTTGATGCACTTGGAGTGGAGTGGATTTTTGTGCAGTGTGATAAATGTGGATCTTTTTTGGATTCTTCTACATGCACTTGTCCAATTTGACCAGTACCATTTGTTGAAGATTCTGTCTTTTTTTCTTGTGTGTATTTCTGGCTTTATAAAAATTCAAGTGTCCATAGGTGTATTGATTTATGTCTCGGTCTTCAACTTGATTCTATTGATCTGTATTTGTTTTTGTGCCAATACCTTGTTTTTTTTTCCCATTCCTATATCTCTGTAGTAAAGTTTGAAATCTAGTAATCCCATTAATCATGGGAATGGGAAATCTTCTAATGCCTTTCTCAATTTCTTCAGTGTCTTAAAGTTTTTATTGTACAAGTCTTTTATTTCCCTGGTTAGAACTACACCAATGTATCTTTTTTTTTTTTTTGAGGCTACTGTGAAAGGTATTGTTTCCCTGATTTCTTCCTCCATCTCTTTTTCTTTTGTATATAGGAAGGCTACTGGGTTTATACTTCAGTTTTTCATCCTGCTATTTTCTGAAGTGTTTATCAGCTGTAGGAGTTGGCTGGAGGAAATTTTAGTGTCATGTATGACTACTATCACTTCATTGATAAATAAAGATATATTGACTTCTTTCCTTCCTAATTATGCTCACTTGACCTCCTTTAGTTGTCTTATTGCTCTAGCTAAGAATTCAAGTACTATACTGAACAGATATGGAGAGAGTGGACAACCTTGTCTTGTTTCTGATTTTAGTGGAAGTGCTTTGGGTTTTCTTCACTGAGGTTGATGTTGACTGTGGATTTGCTGTAAATCACATCTTAATTTGAGTTTTGTTTCTTACATCCCTTCCCCCATTATCTCCATGACTTTTACCATAAAGGAGTGTTGGATTTTTGTCACAGGTCTTTTCTGCATCTAATGAGATGACCTTGTGGTTTTTGTCTTTCATATGGTAGATAACATTTCTTGATTTATGTATATTGAACCATTCCTGTATCTCTATGATGAAGCCTACTTGATCATGGTAGATGATCTTTTTAATGTGTTCTTGATTTTAGTTTTCAGGCATTTTATTGAGAAACTTTGCATTTATGTTCATCAGGACCACTGTTCTGTAATTTTCTTTCTTTGTTGAGTCTTTATGTGGTTTAGATATCAGGGCAACTATACAAGTATAACCTGGCAAAAGGAATTGGCTAGTGTACCCTCTGTTTTTATTTTGTAGAATAAGTTGAGGAATATAATATTTAGATTTTTCTTTTTCTTTTTTCTTTTTGGCTGAGAGTCTTTTATTGGCTGGCTATATTTCACTAGAGGTTATAAATCTGTTTACATTGCTTATCTTATGTTGATTTACTCTGATAGGTCATATATATCAAAAAAATCATCCATTTCTTTTAGATTCTTCCAACTTGGTAATGTATGGGTTGTTAAAGTATTTCTTTATGATTCTCTAGATTTCCTTGGTATCTGTTGTTATGTCCTTACATTGTTTCTAATTTTGTTATTTTGAATCTTTCTCCATCACCTTTAATTAATTTCGATAAGTGTTTATCAATCTTATTGATTTTCTCAAAGAACCAACTCTGTTTTATTGATTTTTTTTTAAAGAAATGCTTCTTGTTTCTAGTTTATTGATTTTTATCCATGAGTTTTATTGTTTATTGTCTGTTCTTTTTGGGTGTTATTACTTCTTTTTGTTCTAGAGCTTTTAAGCATATCACTAAATCACTAATATATGATCTCTCCAATTTTTTTCTGTGGTCACTTAGTGCTATGAGCTTTCTTCTTAGAAGCAACCATTCATTATTTTCCATAAATTTGGGTAGGTTGTGTTTCCATTTTCATTCAGTTCTAAAATGTGTTTAATTTCTTTTTAAATTTCTGTCTTGCTTAATTTTTCATTCAGTAATGAATTGTTCAGTTTCCATGAGTTTGTAAGCTTTGTGTTGTTTCTGTTGTTATTACTATCTAGCTTTAATCCATGGTAGTCAGATAGGATACAGGGTGTTATTTCAACTTTCTTGTATCTGTTGAGACTTGATTTGTGTCTTAGTATATGGTAAACTTTGGAATAAAATTCCATGAGCTACACTACAGAGAAGGAGGTATATTTTGCATGTCTGTTTGTGTTTGGGTGCAAGTTTCTGTTATATCTGTTAAATTCATTTTGTTTATGATGTCATTAATCATCAGCATTTTTTTGGTTATTTAGTTTTATCTTGCTGACCTGTGTATTAGTGAGTGTGAGATAAATAAAGTCTCCCACTATCAATGTGTGAGGGTCAATATGAGAAGGCCAAGGAAAGAAGGGCCATAGTCAGTGGTCTGCTACAGAATTGGGGATAAGATTGGAGGTTGGAGTTGGAGGACAGGAGGGAGAGTGGAGATGGTATGCCTAATTCCCTGGCCAGTGTGACTGGGTTTCCAGACATGAACTTGTATATGTTTGTTTCCTGTTTTAGATCCTGACTTGAATTCTTAATTGGATTGAACATAGAGAGCATAGAGTTTTCTGGCTCTACTTTTGGTTTCTAGTCACAAAGCCCAGATGTTATCTATACTGGAGGAGAGTTCAAATCTGTCAGCTGCCTTTGGTCATAACCCAAATAGATGATCTCACCAGGTGAAAGGTCTCCTAGTGATACAGTGGCTACTCTACTGTGACAGGTCAAACCCATGGAAACAAAGTCAAGAAGAGGATACCTGTAGTCCCTAGTGTTTCTTTTTCTGTTTTTGTTCATTATTTGACTGGTATGAACTTGGAAATAGCTACATTCATCTATGAGAAATGATGGTTATGTTCCTTTCTAACTTAGTTTGGGGAAGATGGAAGGCTGATAAATGAATATGTAACATTCTTACAAATTAGGATTCTCATGGAAGAAAAATGAAAAAGAAACAACAAACTATCATTTCTGACGATGAAAATCTCATTTTTTTTCCCTAATGACTCATAGGTGGAGCACTGGAGACAGGGCATATTTTGCAAAATTGAAAACAAATTAATTGCATGGTTTTCCTGATGCTGTAAAAATTTGCTTTTTGGTAAGATTTGAGGTTCCTGGTTTTTGAGTTTTTGGTTGCTTTTGTCAACACTGGTTGATCTCTATCTCTAACAAAGTTAAAGATGAATTTGAACTCTCGATCCCTTTACCTCTACCTACACTGCTGGGATAATAGGTCTGCACCTCCATGCTTAGACTCATGTCAGGTATATGTAAGAATCTTTACACTCACATTTTCCTTTTTGTCTTTTTGTTGTTGTTTACTTGTTTGTTTTTGAGTCAGGGTCTCACAATGTAACCCTGGCAGGGCTGGAATTTGCTATGTAGGTCAGGCTGGCCTCCAACTCATAGAGAACTTCCTGCCTCCTGGGATTAAAGGTGTGTGCCGCCATACCTGGCCTCTACGGCCAGAGTTTTGACAAGTTATAAGGCTCTAAAAGCAACCATTTACATTTCATGATAATATATAATGACTGTGCAGCAGGCCTCAGGGAGAGATCAGAAGTGGTGGGGCCTATGAAAGAACTAGATGTAAAAGTGAGGCCTAAGTGGGTTTTGTGGCCATATTTATGAGGACAGAGTAATGTCCTGACCGCCTTCATTTTGCATCTAGAAGGCTCTCCAACTTTTGTATTGGTCTGACGTTAATCCAAGAGAAATTAAAAACCAATCTTAGTTTCTTTTTGCTCCCAGCAGAGAACGAGACTCCCTCTTCAGTTTGGCGCCCAGTGGCTCTGACCCTGCTGACCTTGTGTTTGGTGCTACTCGTTGGCCTTGCAGCCCTGGGCCTTGTGTGTAAGTCTGCACTTTACCCTGGGGGAGATCCTGATTCCTTGATTTGTCCAGGAGGAGACTCTCTTTCTTTGAGTTTCTTAAAATCCTAATTTTGGAGTCTTATCCTCTTTCTAAAGGCAACTGTTTAAATGACTAGGAGTTGAAATATGGAAATACAGCAAGCATTTTTCAATTCAAAGAAAACATGCTATTGAAGAGAAGTATTGTATCAGTTTATATATCCGTATGTAATTCACCGCTTTGGAGAGCATGTACTGTTGATCTCTTTACCCCCTGCCCCAGTGGCGCAGCTCTGGCAGCTGCTGTGAGGCCGTGTGGTGCAGTGGACTGGTGCAGGGAAAATGTTTTCTGAGCTCATCCATCCTCTACACAGGGAGCAGAGAAGAGCTGGGTCTCTATACTTGTCAGAAAGGCTGGGAAATGATACAGTTATCTTCGGGGAGGGGGGGAATGCATGAAAATCAAACAAGGAAAACACCTTCCATTTCAAAGCAGCAACAGTGTGTTCCTAGATCTACTAATTAGGAATACACAACCCCTTCCTGAACTGCTGAAGGTGAGCCCAGGCAAATGCCATACAGCAATGCAGATCAGGGGGTCATATAGTGATTTTCTTTGAAGAAAAAAAAAAAAAAAAGAATATGAGAAATCCTCTCTCAAAAAAACAAAATGTTTACATTCATGAACTTAAATTTAAAAATTAAAAAGAAATACTATTACTTCTTTCTACCCTGAAATTTACATCATCTTGTTACAGCACTATTTTGTAATCACCTTTTTTCCTTAGGAATGTAAAGTGGCTCTCATGACTCATGACAGATTTCTCTAGATTTGGAAAACTGAAGTTCAATCTGTGTTGAAATTTCTTTTCAGCTGAGTGACACTAAAGATATTACTTGTCCTCACATACACTAACTAAAAATCTATAAAAATATGGAAATGAGATCTGACCAATGTAATAATGAAATGAAGTATGGATTATGTCATTTTTCCAATATTCAATATTCAAGTCAATAGATGAGTATATTTACATTTTTAGGTTGGTTTTAGGTTTGGCTGTGCATAAAATGCTTCAATAGTTAAAACAATTTAGTATTCGACTCTTAGCTTCTGAAATTAAGAATCACTATTTTGGCCTCATATTTTCCAACAGAGGTGTATAATATATATTTACCCGAGATGATACAATTAACTGTGCCATTGGATGTGGCAATCTGAGCGCTCAGTACTTAGGGTTGTTAATCTATGTACTTTATTGCCTCCCTACTGTGTGGAAATGCAAACAGGCAATGAGCTGTCCAGTCTGACTTGGTCACATGACTTAGTTTTTCAGTTCTACCAGCTCTCCAATATCCAGCAAGACAGCATCGCTGAAAAGGATGAAAGGCTGGGGAATGTATCCCGACAGCTGCAGTCCCTCCAGATGCAGAACAGGAGACTCATAGAAACTCTACAGCACGTAGCTGTAAAACTGTGTCGTGAACTTTACAACAAAAGCGGAGGTGAGCATGTCCCTGTCTTCCCAAACCGTGAAAACTTTTCTATCTGGACTTGGATTTCCTATCTGGGCAACGAAAACCACGTATTTTTTAGAAATGCTTTTCCTTCCATCTTAATAAACAGTTTGAGCTTCATAATCATGATCAGACATTGGGTTATAATTTCTTACACACATCCGTGTCACCCGTATGGGAAGAGATTCTTCAAATTTTGACATTTAAAACAGGAAAAGTAGTTAATTTAGAATAACATAAACAGCACCATCATCAACTAAACACAGGAATGTGCGTCAGTTACACTGGCACACACTGGTCATCGGCACACACTGATCAGTCACGATGAAAGTGTTGGGGAAGTTTTAACTACCATTTCCCAATATTTAGACTCATGCAAGGATTCGTTTCAAAATTCGGAGAACTTGAAATAAATCACAATTGTTTTTGTTCACTCTGACTTTTTTCTCTGTCAAGAATAGGAAGCTTACAAAGAATCAAGGGTAAAGACAATGACAGTCATGGGCAAACCCAAACTACCACTGATGATAACTGTAAACATCGCCTCAGTGTCCCCTACACACTCCGCCTCCCACTCTTTCTATTCTCCTGTTCTAAAAGTTTCATCCCCGTACACTATATTCAAGTCAGCCCTGTCCGCTGTCCTCTCTACCATACAAGCATAGGAAGAAATCTACATCATTTTGCAGCTTTGCTTGACTTCTCCTTTATGAAATATAAAGTGCCACAGTTTCATCATCATCTCTGCCCACACTACTTCCCCTTTAAGCAGACAGAAATTGAATGATTTTCTCAGTAAACAGTGTCTCAAGGCACACTTCTCTAAGTGTTTTTTTTTTCCATGTGAGAAGTGACGTCATTTACCATAATTCTCTCTTTTCTGTTTCTCTACCAGACCCGTAGACTTTTTTTTTTTTTTTGGATTCTACATTAACAAAAAGTCCAAGTATCTCTGAAAAAAATATAAGGTGATAGGAATGCATGCTGTGAAAAAAGTCTGGGTCACAGATATAAATTGACTAATATCCTATGTGCTCAAATTCTAGTAAAAACACACAAACAGAAAATTATCTCGTATTTTTGGATGATTTTCCATGTGTCATATGACTGACTGACCCACCCAAACAGTGGTGGCATATGCCTTTAATCCTAGTAGTCAGGAGACAGAGACAGGAAGATCTTTGTGAGTTCGAGACAGATATCCAGGACTACACAGTGAGACTCTGAAAAAAAAAAAAAAAAGAACAAACAGAAACAAGCAGACATAATGACTGGTCTGTTTGAGAGTGATGCCTTGCCTTCTACATAGACAGGGACTTAGAGGAGGATCTCACAAAGAGTGCCCATGCTCAGTTTGAGATTTCTATGACCACTATTGTTTCACGAGTTCTACATACATACTTAGAACAGAACATCTGAAAGCAGCACCTCTTCATGGCATACATTCATCTAGCTGATCTAAAACATGCATTTCCCCTGAAATATGCTCATGCATCTATGCTTGCACATATAACATGTATGTGTACTGTGTCTTGGGGAATTTTTTGTACTTTTAAAAAATGTTTTAGATTTAGTTGTTTGATTTTATGTACATTAGTGTCTTATCTGCATGTATGTTTATGCATCAAGGGCATACTTGGTGCTCTTTGGGGGGATCAAAAGAGAACATTGGATCCTCTGGAATTGGAGTTACAGGTAGTTCTGAACCACTGTGAGTGCTGAGAATCTAGACTAGGTCCTATGCAAGAATAGCTGGTGCTAATAACCACTGAATCACTATTTTATCCCCTTACTTTTTTTTTCCAGTTGCTTAAGTAAAGTTAAACTAATACTAAGTCAGAACAACATAGGACTCTTTCTGCGTCTTTAGTTCTATGGTATCACTTCTTGTTTCACACAACACGTTCCGACTTTCCTCTCTCTCCTTCCTGCCTGATTATCTCTTCTTTGAAATTATTACGTTTGTTTCCACAAATGAATGAAATCACATACTATTTGTCTTTAAATACTTAATTCTTTTTGTTTAGCTCAATGTTATCCAGTTCTACAAACTTTTATGTAAGTAGACATGATTTCATTGTATTGCAATAGCTGATAGTACCTTTTGCATATATGTGCTTTATTTCTTATCCATTCATCAGTCCATGGACAATTTGGCAGAGTCTATTTCTTGGATACTATGAATTGTGCTATAATAACTGCAAGAGTGAAGATGCGTATTTAATACCATAGTTGCATTTCACTTGTATACATGCATAATAGTCTGATTACCAGGTTACATGTTCGCCATAGTTTGGGTTTTTTGAGACATCTCTATATTGTTTTCTGAAGTGTCTGAACTAATTTACATTTTTATCTACAATGTATAAGAGTTCTTCCTATGTTTCTTTTGAGCATTTGTTATTTTCCAGTTTTTAATTGATTGTCATTGTGACTCTGAGATTTTGTGGTTTTCATTTTGGCTTTGATTTGCATTTTTGTAGTGATTAGTGACAATGGGCAGCTTCTCGTGTACTTGTTTTCATTTGTGTGTCTTTTGGGGGAATGCCTCCTGTATCATTTACCCATTTTTTTATTGGATTATTTGGAGGTTTTATTTTAGGGTTGAGCTTATTACCTATTTAGAATTTTTTTCTTCTATGTAAGTAGATTGCATACGTGTTGTTCAACTCTGAAGGTTGTCTCCTCATGCTATTATTTCCTTTGCTATGAATGTAGAAACATCTCAGTTTGATAGAATCACATTTATCTACTTTTTCTTCTGTGGTTTAAGCTTTTGAGTTTTAATCCAAAATCTCTATCTACAGTAATGTCTTGGCAGATTTTTCTTCTTTATTTCCTTGACATAGAAGAGACACAGTTCCTGTTTGTACACTTAAGACCTTGACCCATTTTGAATTGATATTCTTATATGACAAGAAACATGGGTCTAGTTTATTCTTCTTCATATGAGTATCAGTTTTCCAAGTACCATTTACTAAAAACACTGTTCACTAAGCTATGTTCTTTGTGTCTTTGTTAAAGCTGAGGTTGTCTGTATGCATGAGGACTGTTTGCTGGATTCTCATTCACTATGTCCATTGTAATTCATTTGACTACTCAAATGTTAGCAGTAGTTGAGTATTAAATTGTTCTTAAAATCATGCTGCCCTTGATAGGTTTATACAAGCCTGTTTATATGAAAAGGGGGAACCTCAATTGAGAAAAGTAAGACCAGCTGTGACCTTAATTAGTGGCAGATGGGGGAGGATCCAGCTCATGGTGGGTAGTATCATCCCTGGGCTGGGATTCCGGTTTATATAAGAAAGTAGGCTGAGTAAACCAAGAAGAAGCATTTCTCCTCGGCTTTTGCTTTGGTTCCTACCTCTTTCTTTCCTTTCTTTAGTTCTTGACTTCACTGCTTTTGATGATGAGTTGTTATATGGAACTGAATAAAATAAACTGTTTTCTCCCCAGCTTGCTTTTTGCTCATGGTGTTTTTATCAGAAACCCTATCTAAGCACATGTCAAGCAGGGTAGTGCAGGCCTGCAGTCCCAGCTACCAAGGCAAGAAGGTCACAATTTCAAATTAATACAGGGATAAAAAATGAATTGAAGGATAACCTGGATCATTTATTAAGTACCTGTCTCAAAACAAAAGGTTAGAAAGTGTAGATGGAGGCTGCTCGTTTGTTTTTCAGCCACCCAGACATAGAAAAACTGTATTAATGAAAACACTGCTTAGTCTGTTAGCTTAGGCTTCTTATTAACTAACTCTTACAGCTTAAATTAACCCCTTTCTATTATTTTATATTTTACCATGAAGCTCGTGGTTTACTGATAAGGTTCCAGGATTTGTCTTCTTCGGCAACCATGTGGCATCTCTGACTCTACCGTCTTTTCTCCTCTGTCTGCTTGGAATTCTCACCTTGCTTTATTCTGTCATAGGCCCAAGCAGCTTCTTTATTAACCATTGGTAATAAAACATATTCAAAGCATACAGAGGGGCATCCCACATCATGATACTACTACTACTCATGTATGTAACAAGACCCATGTATCCCATCTTACTCTCAATTTATGTACTTACTTGTTTGGCTTGCAAGTGCCCACACTCCAACACACACACACACACACACACACACACACACACACACACACACACAAAACACTAGTGCAGGAAGAATACAAGGAATCTACACTTGAGAATACCTGACAAACAATGTGAAAAGATGAAAGACTTGTTTAGCCTCTAGCTTCAGATGTTTCAGCACATGGTGGCAATGAAAGCCACTGCAGGACAGCTTACATCATGCACACCATACTTGAAGCAGAGAAAGGGGCATATGCAAAGAGAGAGACATTTGATATAGCCCCAAGAACATCACCCAGTGATTGATTTCTATCTTAGCCCCTATTATTTTCATTACTTCTTATTAATGCCATCATATTTGAAACCAATCAATAAATCAGTCCATCAATGATATTGAAGCCCTCAGGATCCAATCACAACACCAAAGCTCACCATCTCAAAACTACACCCCCAGTGCTTCTGAGTCTATGGGAGGAATTTTATATTCAAACCACTGCATAATCATATGAGCCATCTCATGAAGGAATATTCTGTCCACGTTCTGCATTGCACTGAAATACAGAAGTTTCAGTCATTCGTCACCAGATGCAATATTTCATATAAGCAGTATCTTTTAATTTTCACTGAATGTTTATCACCAACTATAGATCATTCCTAGGGTGGAGTGGGTGGATAGCACAGGTGTTCACTCAAATACCTAAGAGATGTAAATTAGTTTTTGGAATATCCAACACTGTTTGTTTCCAAAAGAGGAAAAATAGCAGACCCAGGCAGAAGATAATTAACCAACGTGTGTTTGTTTTCTTCCAAGGACACAGATGTAGCCCTTGCCCAGAAAAATGGAAGTGGCATGGGGACAAATGTTACCAGTTCTATAAAGAGAGTAAAAACTGGCAGGGCTGTGAATATTTCTGCTTGGCTGAAAATGCCACCATGCTGAAGATAAGCACACAGGAAGAGCTGGTAAGTTCCTGAGCCTTGGTATTTGAAGGAGTCCCCCAAAAGAACAGGGCAAGAACACTGTAGGGAGCTAAGTTTCTGATCCACAGGTTTCCACTCTTGCTCACAGTGAAGACCAAGTCATACTCCAATTGCTCCAAATTATCCCTGAAATGGATAAAAGCTGTGTTCTACCCAAATACCCACTGCACATAAATATGAGAAGTAGCTCATATTTCATTTGACTACCCCTTTAGTCAACGGGCAAAAAGAAAATATCCTAATTTCTTTTTCTGAGATGGGGTAGAAAGAGAATAACATTGGTGCACTCTAAGAAAAATGATAATATGACCACCTGTCTTTCCATTAAAAACATTAAAAATCTTTTAATTGAAAAATATCCCATCAAATAATTGTCATAAATTGCACACACACACACACACACACACACACACATCTCCTTCTTCTTTTTCTTCTCCTTTTTCTCCTCCTCCTTCTTCCAGAAGGTTGATCAAGGCAAATATAAGAATAGTTGTGACTTATTTAGGTGTCTCTGAAACCTCATTGGGCAACAGTTTTTTTTTTTGACACAGATATGGAACTGGGATTTTTTTTTTCAGTGCTGTGGATTAGATTCAGGCCTCACGAATGCAAAGTAGACAACCTACCACTAAGCTACATCTCAAGACTTGTTGATATGTGGCTTTTTGTTTGATAGCTTATGGTCTCTGCTGAGGCACTGCCCCATTGAAACCCTTTTATAAATGGACATGTAGACATGTATGCATTTTAGTAAGATACTAGAGTAATAGGTTTATACACAGCATTTTCAAAGGCCACTAAGTTTAGTCACATGCTCCCTCCTCTACCCTGTCCTCCCACCTGTATCCCATTTAGCCCTTCCTGTTCCATTTCTTTTCTTCATAACACTGGCATTCTATTTCCTTTTATGCAAAATGTCCCAATGGCATCTTACTATTTTTTGCCCATTCCAAGTACCTTAATTTAAATACATGTATATAAAGACTCAGAACTAATATTCAATTGTATGAATTGTATGAATTGTAATTGTATGAATTAAAGCATACAATGCTTGTTTTTACAGCTCAGTATTGGGAAAGGAGTTGCCATATATTAGCATATAGAAATGTGTATTTTTTCTCTTCTTTTTTGTGTGAGGTTCATATTATCCTTCTAAATCTCCCTTACTTCTTTTTACATTAAAGTATCTCCATAATTTTATTCTTGTTTATAACAATTACTTCTCTAGTTTCATACTAACAATTTTTCCCATTTTCTAAAATAATTTCACTTATTTTAAAAATATTTCTCCCATTTGTTTTTGTTCTGTTTTAATTCATTAATCAAGAGTAATGGCAATAACATTTAGTGTTTAATCAGTTAATTAAAATTAAATTATTTTTAGAGACAAGGAGTGAACACAAAGTTCAGCGGAAGTTAAGCAAGCACTCAGGCAGCTGAGCCATATTGCAGACCTCCCATTTTCCCCTCTGTCTTTCTGTATCTCTCTGTGTTTGTGTCTCTGTCTCTCTGTCTCTTTCTCTTTTTCCCTCATTTATTTTTAGAGACAAGGTCTCACTTTGTACCTGTGGCTATCTTGGAGTGGGCTATGTAGAGCAAGCTGGCCTCAAACTCACAAAGATCCACTTGCCTCTGCTTTTTTAATGCTGAGATTAAAGGCGTATGCCACCACATTCAGTTCCTCTTATATGTCAATTTTGTGTTTAATCTTATCCATTAAGAATAATTGGTCAACTATTTCTATTGGTTGATATGGCTTCTGTTTTCATAATATCAACATATATTCCATGCTTACTAACACAAAGCATATCGTTTTGTCGCTTACTTACTGGTCAAATTTCTAAACGGCTTCATGACAAGTGCCTTGTACTCCTGGTTGAAGCATTTCAAAGCTAAACATTTTCTTGTGTGCCTTTCACAGGATTTTGCCATGCCTCAGAGCTACTCTGAGTTTTTCTACTCTTATTGGACAGGGCTCTCCCGCAATGGCAGTGGCAAAGCGTGGCTGTGGACAGATGGGACACCTTACTCCTTTGAACTGTAAGCCTTCAGAGCATTCTGTGCGAGAGGCATTTAATAAAGACAGATTAGCAGTGATTATGGAGCATCTGTTCTGTACTGCATGGTGTGCTTCCAGGTGGAGGCCCAGAGGTGCTTGTGTTGAAAATGCTTAGAAAACAGAGGGGAGAGGGAAGGGAAGGATTATCAAATATCAGCAAGTGGTTTCCTGGCTGATTTCAGTAGTGAGTGTCTAGGAGTCACTCACTACTGGGAAGTGAGTGATAAGGAGAGAGAGAAGAAAAGGGAGAGGAGATCACATTTGGATGAATAATTAAAGGATACTCAGATGTATAGTGGTCATTCAGGGTCATCCAATCTGTCAATAGCCAGGGTTGAGTTATTGCCTCAGAGAGTTCTTGGCTCTCTGCACTTTATTATGCAAATTAAAATATTTTATTTACTACGGAAGCATTTAGAGAGGGTTGCGTGAAATTCCATGGCACGGATAAATGTAATTTCTTCAGGAAAGTTTGTTACACTTAAAGCTCTGTCGAGTAGATTCCATTCTCTGTGTATGGTAAAACATGACATTTGTGTTTTAAATTAAGTATACTGAATGCTAATTATCAATAAAATCAGAGATTGCTTCTGCTTTATTTAAGAACAGTTTTGTTGCTTTGAGTGGTCAGTTACTTCTAAGAATACAGTGGTGACTGAAGGGTTAAAAGCTGAATTCATTGGCCCCATCTCTCCAGCAAAGACATCCTAGGGATAGAGATAATGATTTTTGTCACCTGAGAGTTGTATTTTTATTGTTTCTAGATATGCCACTTTAGAAATAAATTCTGACCACATTAAATTCTTCTCTTTTTCTTTCCTAAGGTTTGAGATTATAATAGATCCCACCAACCTAAGGAACAGGGACTGTATGACCATCTTCAATGGAAAGGCTTTCTCAAAGGACTGCAAATAGCTGAGGAGGTGTGCCTGTGAACGGATGGCAGGGAGAGTGGTACCTGAGGTGCTCCAGTAGGTGGCATCAAACATTGAGCAGAGGAAGTCAACAGGTCAGCTTCAACCACCAGCCAAAGGTTTGAATCAAGTGAGGCCAACACCATGGACATTCGAAGTTTTGGGAAACAGAGAAGCAGCTGCGGAGACTTGAGAGGTTCTCCTTATTCTGGCTCAGCATCATTCATACCTGAGCACCGGTTCTTACACACTTTTACCAGTCACAAAGATTCTTATGAAGCACCAATTAGCCTCAGTAGGCTAGAGCGTTGTCCTCCTTCATTTACAGAAGGCTTTCAGCTGCCTCCCAGTGACTGTTTTCACCCTGTTTCCCATGTCTCCTTTACACTAGAAAAAGAGGCACATAAAAAACAGAGGGGGTAATACAAAGCCACTCACTGTGTGTGGTGGTGTCTACACAAGTCTTGGTGCCTTCCGGCTCTCAGCACTTTGACGGTGGAAGCAAGACATGAAAAGTTTAAGGCCAGCCACAGCTACACAGAAAGGAGGCCATCCTCTGCTATATGAGGACCTCTTCTCAAACGGCAAGAAGGAACAAAAGAACAAGAGAGTTAAAAGGAAGAAAGAAAGAAAGAAAGAAAGAAAGAAAGAAAGAAAGAAAGAAAGAAAGAAAGAAAGGAAGGAAGGAAGAAAGAAAGGACAGCAGAGAATAGAGAAAAGGGAAGTGGGGTCCTTTGGGGTCCTTTGTCCTAACAGGAAGTCCAAGAGAAACTAGCAGACATCTCATTCCTGTGCTGTTATACACAGCTAATCCTTTTTGTTTCCAGTTCACACTTTGCCTTTCCCAGGCTCTCAACAATTGCTCCACCTGCTACACCGCTGATCATCTTTCCAGCTGAACTGGCTCTCATTGTGTCAATCTCCAGTCCATCATTGTGTCCTTCCCCAATCATGTTGCCTAGGATGATCTCACCTCTCATATAAGTTTGAATTACTGTCCCTGTACTCCGGCAAGGAGACTGGAGAGAAATTTTAGTCTCTTTAAATACAGATAATAGTTTGGATTCTTCCTCCATTCCATTTGAAATATGTTTATACCTTCCAGGTACTGAAGATTTAATAATAATAAGTGTGAATAATGTGAAATTGGTATGGTTTTAGAATGGATTTGTGACTTGGGGGGAAATCAGCAAGAGAATGCTTTTCACTACTGTTTTAACTGACTGTTAACTTGTGCCTTGACCATTGGTGGAGCCACTCTGAGGCTACTGTTTATGAAATATCTGAGGATAATAAAGTATCCAAAACAAATTGTCTCCAAAAGGATGGCTGTATGATATTTCTAAAGTGAAATGGTTTTGACAAAAATCACGACATCGATGTTGGTCTTTTGAGTACCTGAGGTGTGGTAGACCACATGATATCTAAACAGGAGTTGGAGGAGAAAGATAAGCTGTGAAGTTTACATAGCCAAACTCTTGACTAGACATTATTTTCTCTGGGTGATGACATTCAAAGCCATCACGGGAGTTGTGAATATCACCATGCCAACTGGATTCATCGCTTATAGAGAAGCCAGCATTATAGGGTTGACAGCACCAGTATCAGATGTCACACTCTTAGTTTTCAACAGTAAATACTGGGAAACATCTATTTCATGGTGAAATTACTAAATTAGCCCTTTTGTAATGAGAACAATTCTGTATTTATTTTCATAAGACATAATTTGATAATAGTCATTTATCTAAACATGACTGATAGGCTGCTTAAATTTTCTCTTAGATTTTTTTCCAACTAGCTAGGGGGTTTCTTCATTGATGAATGAACTCTGTGCAGGGTTACTGTGTCAAGTAAACAGAATGTATTCATGGTTAGTTTTAAAACTTGAGGGGTTTAGTTCTCTCCTGGTTTGATTTATTTACTGAGCAAATCACATCACTTCATATAGCTGATTAAAAATTCGAAATATTTTTAATTTCCCAATGATATTACTTAAATTGAAGCAAATGTCTCAATTAGTCTCATAACATAGGTTGTAGTAGAAAATGTAAGGTAAATTAAGAAAATATTTTAAATGGTTTAGTGGTTCTTGTTTAAATATAGGGTAACACAAATGCAGATTCTTTATTCATTAAAGGTAAAAATATTTTCAAATATTTTCCATAATTAACAAAATGATGACTGTTTTCCTGCTCAGTTAAAGTGACTAATAAAAAAACCTAAAAAATAAAAAAATAAAGGTCAAATACATTATTAAGCAATTGTTCTATAAACCTGCAGAAGGAAACAGGAGTCAGCAATAGAAAGTCACAAACTTTGTGTACTTAATTGTAAACAAGGACCATGACTCTCATTTAAGTTTGACTCTAGCATCCTGGACTCCTGGAGAAAAGAAGACACCTGTCTCTCTAACTACTATTGACTGATAAAGTCTAGCTACCTAGAGGGTGAATAGCATTCTTATTTGCAATCGGAGATCTCAAGCAAAATGTTATTTCAGGGGGAAAAAGAAAGAAATTGTACTTTAAAAATATCTTTTCTTGATCTTATTCTTCATTATTACCCTTAGTCCCCCTTTCTGTATCCAAGTCTGATAATATTGATAACATCATAAACAAACATCCCAAAAGACGGGAAAAGGGAGTATGGTAAAACACTGCCTCTACAAACATTTAAGAAACAAGAATCAATCATAAAATGAATTTTAAGATAAGGCTTGCTGATAATAAAAAGTGGAAACCACATGAACTGGCTTTCTCAGGATGAGAAGGATGAGAAGACATTTTTGTGGTCTCTTACTGTGTAGGTAATTAGGAAGAAAGTGCAGGAAGACTCAAACAGGGACCATGGCCTTTCCCATAGAACACGCTCCCCTGGGTACACAATGAGCTATTTCTTTCCTGAGGATATTGAACACTCTCAGGATTTATCAGCAGGAAACAGGTCAGGAACCCGGTGACAGCAGGAAGTTTGAGAAGGGTAATGGGGGAATACAAACAGATTACATACTAGGTACAAGAGTTGAGTGGTTGTCCTGCGGCCAGCCTTAATGTTTGGGAGTCAAGTGCAGTTTTTGAAAGTCACACAAAAAGTACTGTGTGACTTGAGATACTCAAAATTCACTGTATGAATAGATTCTAACAACAAACTTATTAGTCTATTAATATTATTTCAGTATTTTATTGGTGTATTTAGTGTGCAATACTATGTAGCAGAACCTTTTTCCAATTGCAGAGGAATTATCATTTTTCTCTTTTTTTAATAAGTTCACTCAGTGAGATGCATTAAAAGTACATAATTTATCATTAATAGGATTGGGACATGAATCTGGTCCTCTTATGGCTAATTACCATCAACAAGGACAGGCATCCTGGATCACTAGCAATCTGCACTAAGAACTCTCCCAACCTCTGCATCTATGTAGGTGTATCATGACTGCCTGGGACATTGTAGACTCCTGTATCATCTGCACTGTAGATAAATCTCAGGCTTGTAAATACAGCATTGTATGTATACAGGCTGGATAACATTAGCCAGAGGATGTTTGCACTTGGTTTCCTTGTACTTTTCTGAGAAGAATTGTCAGTGCTTCCCATCCTTTCTCTAAACATAGCCCGATGACAAGCCTTTGAAGAATCTCAGAGACAAACAGTCTTTACTGTTAAAAATCACCATTGTTACTGTTTTCTAGATTAGTATATTTAGCTACCAGCTGCCAGCTGCAAAAACCACACAGTCTACAACTTCTGAGCTCTTTATTCTCCCAGGATCAGCAGAAAGCTAGAGTGTGTGTGTGTGAGAGAGAGAGAGAGAGAGAGTGTGTGTGTGAGTGAGTGTGTATGCGCTTCTACCTTTTAAATGCCATGTCAAGGTAAAAAACAAGACAAAGGCACAGTCTTCTCATTTCTACGGCACCATAGCCACTGAGAAATGAACTTCAGGTTGAAGGATGCTTAGCTTCATTTAAATAATTTCTGCTGCCTCAGTAAATCAGGTTTTTTAAAAATTATTTATCTGTTATGCCATTGTAATAAGAAGGAAGGGATGAAAATCTTGTACCTCTCAGCGTCTTCTTGTCATAATGAAAGATTAAATACAACCACATTGAATTTAGCAACTATTTATTGAGAGCATGCTATGTAGTAAGGTTTAGAGATGGCACATGGTAGACACAGAATATGATAATAACCATTATCAAATTTTTCCTTCCTGTAAATGGCAAGCTTTTTTGTGTCAACTTTTCTACCTAAAATATGATTTTCTATTGTCTGCATGTAACATTAGGGTTGCATTCTTAAGCAGTATTTTGAAGTGAATTATACTATAAATTTGTAGTGGGGAAGTTGAGACACAGAGACAGGCAGTTGAAAGTGCCAGGCTGTTAATCTTGGCATCGCAGACTGTGAGCTGTTTGACTGGTGAGTGGTGGCATCGAAGGTGCCACCTACACTGCCGGGCATGCTGGTGCTGATGTGTTGACTATCCCTTCACCTATGTGGAAGTTTCCTTTCCCAGTAGAATTTTGCAGCCTGAAAAGCACGGTCAACTCTACAGCTAGAAGAAGTTTTCATTCTTTCTGAGACAGACCAGAAAGAGTCAATGACTCTACAGCTTTCGGGAAGGAGTCAAACCTGATAAATGATATTTTTAAAGTACTGTTTAGTGTTATTAGAATTGTAATATATTGGGGTTTTAGTAAGTCTTTAATGTAAATAGGCTTTTAATTCTTGTGAATGATTCGAGCTATCAGCCAAGCAGCCTCTTTACTAACAATGGGTCAGACTGCCTTGATGGCAGTCGAGCGGTTTGGATGTTTTACTCTGAGGACACTCTAGCTGCTGAAGAGGATCACTACCTCATGGCTGAAGACAGGGTCCAGGTGCGATGCTCACTTAGCTGGAACATCCTGTGGAAAGCAGCATTCTTTGGCAAACTGCAGATGGCCAGGCACATCTTGCTGCTATTCCCACTCTGGCCAGAGGGGGAGCACTTCCAACCCGTGGCCCCCGGGGAAGACCTGTGAGTGTGTAAAGAGTCTGTGCGGTCTCCTAGTCTATTAAGTGAGCTGAGCACCAGAAGCAGCTACTGCTCTTCAGTCACCATCACCAGGGCACAAGCGATGGGCGCGAGACCAGCAGAAGAATTCCAGAAAGTGGTCATGGCAGAAAGGATGGACAGCGGAAGCAGAGAGACACTGAGAAATGGTGGAGTCAGAGACAATAAAAGAAAAGGCAGAAAAGCAAGGCTGAGGAAAGACGGAAAAGAGAAATAGTGGGTTGTGGAAGAGCCATCTATGAACCAGAACACTAGTGGGAGCTGCCTGCTGCTACTGACTGCTGTCTGGTGCTGCTGCTGAAGGTCTGCGATTTCAAAAGCTGCCGAGAGCTGGGGCCAGTGCTAACTGAAGTCCAGAGCAATAAGCCTTCAGCCTGCACACCCAGATTCTAGAACAATAGACCCTAAACTCCAAGGCTTAGGAACTGTAAGCCTCTATATCTGTGAGGTCAACTCCTAGGCCTTGGGCCTCAGAAGAGGAGTACCAGCTCTGGAGGTATGCCACCCTTCTCACTTTTCTCTAAAGCTGAAGGACCCCAGGCATATGATTGGTGGTAACACTACAGTTTGGAAATCTCTATGAGTTTTCTCAGAACATGATCATATGGTATACAGTTCCTGGAAGTTGATCTTATGAAAACTCTATCAATTGTTAAGTATAGTGGTAAATTTATTTATTAAAAAAAAAGCAAATCAGGGATTACTGTGCAAACTCCTACAACGATGGCTAGATTTCTTTGTGGTATGAATAATCACTTTGGACTTCTAAATAAACAAGAAATAATTTTCTCTTCTTTGTTCTTGATGGGTCAGGTCTTCTGTATCTCTAAATCATTTTTATCCTCGGTGCACTGAATGAGTTCAACTGAAATCTGCAAAGCTGTCAAAAATATTGCTGCACATAAATATAAAAGCAGTTGGCCTACATGGTCCACACACCAGTCTTCTCCTGCATTTGCTCTCCAACTTCTTCTAAAGCTTTGTGCAGCAGAGGTGGCTTTAAGATGCCTTTTAGATGCAGGATCTGAATACATTCTTCTCACAGATAAAGTATCTCCTGCTACTGCAGTTAGCCGAGAAGAGGGAACGGTCTTTGAGGTATCCACAGGTCTGGCTGACTGATGACTGACTCTGTGTTGGCAACCTGAAAAAGTAAGTTAGCTTCCCAGGTTACAGGTTACATTTGAAAATTACAATGGTATTTGACAAGGAAACACTCCAGAGATGCCATTGGATTTACTTTAATTTGCTTTAATGAGGCATTCTTCTGTGGTGGTTTTATCCTTCAAATAATAGCTACTTAGTTTTAATAAAAATACATGGATGATATAATTTGAACAAACAACTTATAAAGAAACCAAAGTCATGTTTATATAAAGGTAGTTTATAGCTACCATGTTTCCCTTGACTCAGTTTTGAAATACTAAGGCACCAGATTGTGTCCACCAATCTCCATTCCTATCTGGAAAGTCCAATATAGAAATTGCACAATAGTTATTACAACCTTTTGAACAGAAGGCTCTCTCAGCTTTATGACACAAAGAATGTTTTTGATACTATATTTTATTGAACATTTAGACACTTAAATTATAATGAGAATTTTCTAGAGGATGATGGTAGGAGAGCTGATGAAGAAGATTTAGAAGCTGTTTGGATAGTTTCATGTCAAATTAACACAAAGGCTAAAGTCACCCGAGAAGAGGGAATCTCAGTTATGAAAATACCTCCATAGGATCAGGTTGTAGGCATGCCTGTAAGGCATTTCCTTAACTAGTGATTGATAGGGGAGGCCACAGTCAATTGTGGATGGTGTCATTTCTGGGATGGTGGTCCCTAGATTCTATGAGACAGCAGGCCGAGCAAGCTATGAGGAGCAAGCCAGTAAGCATCACCCCTCCATGACCTCTGCACCAGCTCTTGCTTTCAGGTTCCTGCCCTGTGTGAGTCCTTGTCCTGATTTCCTTCCATGATGAACAGAGATACGGACATGTATACCAAATAAACTCTTTCCTCCCCAACTTTGCTTTTTGGTCATGGTGTTTCATCACAGCAATAGAAACAATAAAACCAAGTCATAAGCAGAGTAGTTATAATTCTAATCAGTACCCTCTAAAAGTGTCATAATTCTATGTCTTCTAGAAGAAACACAAGATACAGAGTAAGCTTTTAAAATTTCTTCCCATTCCTAGTTTTCCCTGTAGTGTCTCCTTCATACACTTACCAGTCAGAGGGAGGAGAGGAACCATCTTGCCAGATCCAAGATCTGCTGAGTCCCTCTTGATACACTCCCACCCAGTATTCAACTCTTCTTCTGAGCTTCCACAGGCTGCAGACAATAAAATCCTATAAAACACAAGGCACAAACTCTAAGTGCAGAAAAGGAAGCAGCAGCCCCAACTCTTGGGCAATATGATGCCTAGTATTTGGTTAATCAGAAATGAGTGCGAACATAAGTGTTGGAGGAGAGGGGACATTAAAGTGAAGTTGGACATGCACACACACTCGCACAATTCTTTGACTGGGTAATCAGTATGATGTGCTAAATACTATGAAAAATACATGCATCTGGTATTAAATTTTGCGCAGATACAGAGTCTAGCAGATAGTAAAATCAATCCCATTGACATTTCATCATCAAAAGGAAAGATCTGCTTGTTCCTTCACCATGGCGGCCATTTCTCCCCCACTAAATTTTAATATGTGAAATGTTTGAGATTCCAGCCACAACTCACTGTGAACACATTTTGTTACATGAAGCAGGTTTTATTTTGTCATGAAATTTTTAAAGAAAGTAATTTTAAATAATTATCATAATGTCATTTAAAGCTTCTCGAGTTGCTGCATGATTTTACATTTCCCATTGTTCTTATAAGGCTGAACTTCAGGTATTGGACATTTTGTTAGGGTGAAAAAGGTCTAACTATGAATTCTACTTCAGATATTCTATTTAAAGACAGAATGGCTTCAGCAGTAAGCTTAAGACCCCAGTAAGCCAGATTAGTAAGCTTAACATTTCAGTTATCAAATGCTCATTCTTATTAAGCCAATTCATTTCATGGCATCCATTCAGGTTTTATTCTTTGTAACTTTTGCTTGATTTTGAGTCAGGTGATGTGGGAGTGTTATATATCAATCTGTTGATTTCATTGGCTGAGCAATAAAGAAACTGCTGGCCCTGATAGGTTAAAAGATAGGTGGGCGGAATAAACAGGATAGGATGCTGGGCGGAAGAGGAAGTGAGGTCAGACTCTGCTCTGCTCCCGGAGACTCAACAGCTCTGCTCTCTGGAGCAGAGACACCATGATGGACGGAGGCTAGACTCTTCCCGGTAAGCGCACCTTGGGGTGCTTACACAGATGATTAGAAATGGGCTAAATTAATATGTGAGAATTAGCCTAGAAGAGGCTAGATAGAAATGGGTCAAGCAGTTAAATGAATACAGTTTGTGTGTTGTTATTTCGGGCATGAGCTAGCCACGTGGCCGGGGTGTTGGGGACGCAGCCCCGCTGCCACTCTTATTTCAACAGTCAGGGTTTATTCTGATACATAGGTCTCAAACTCGAGTTCCTCCTGTCTCAGCCTTCTATGTCCTGGGTTTACAAGCTTGTGTCATCATACACCTAAGCATAATACATTTAAGAACATCTGCAGTTGGCATGTATACGTATATACATGGGGAGCATTCACATCTCTGTTGTCCTCTTCCTCCCTCTTTCTCGGTCGACTAAGGCCATAAACTACCTGTATTCTTCAACTTATGAAAAACCAACCTCATTTTCACTTCTCCAGCTGAAGGGAAAAGAAATTATGTGAATCTCTATTTTGCCTCGTTATTTCTTATGTAAAAAAATACTATTTTATATAAAAACGTACTATTTCTATGCTATGGAAAATTATGGAATCTTATGAGACTCTGTACTTCATTTCAATGAGTAACATGGTATTTTCAAAACGACGTAAAATCAGAGAAGTGTCTTTACCATTTCTTCTTTGCTGTCTATTTGAAGGAGTTTTGCGCCCTCCTTTGAACAATTTTCCTTGCTGCCATTCCAAATTTTCCAAATTTGAGAAACATAGTAACAACTTTGTCCATTCTGAATCCAGTTGTGTGGACAAGGGCTGCAGTTACTACCTTCAAAACATAAACATTTCCTTAATAGTCATCAATCACGAAATTGGCATCCCAACTCCCTTAAAATAAACAGATGGTACCCATGATGCAGCACCTACCCATCCAGTTTCTCTGAGGCTGAACACAATAAGGTTTATGTAATTTCCACTAAATAGTTCTCTGAAAATTGGTTTCAGCTAAAAATAAGCGTGGAGATGGCTTCGCTTAAATCTTTCCTCCTATATCAAAAACTGATCGATTTTTCTCCCACTGAGCCATTGAGTAGGATGAGAAGTAAGCCTTGAATTGATGCTTTAATTATGAGACTTGAGCAAGAAAATGTTTCATATATGGAAAGAGATCAATTAATGTATGAAAAGAATGGCTTAGAAACAGGTGTACACTGAACATATGAAGAAACAATGTCTTACTTCACTATAATTGAGAATTAGCTTTTAATATTTCATGTGCTTTTTATGGAACATGTCTTAAGAAAGAATACACTCCCAAAGAACAGTCAGTGACCTGCACACAGAGGAACTAAACAGCACAGATTTGATGAGAGGTTCTAGCATAGTCTTATGAAGGGAGACAGAGAAACACAGAGAACACTGGTTACTAGAGAGAAGCACTCCATGTGGGGTGAGAATCACTTCATAAGCAGTTCCCAAGACTGAACTGATACTTTGAAGATTTTTATATGATTACCTTTTGAGAAAAACAATAAAATGATTGATTCTTTCTTTGTAACTGTAAAAATGCAGATGTCAATGAAAGAGCTGGCAGAGAAAAATATCTTACTTGCTAATCTAAAACAATATGCTTAGTAAATATATGTGAGTCCTTAGGAATAATTTGGAGTTTTTTTTTACCTATAATACATAAAATGCTTAATCATGTAAGGAAATGGGAAACAAGCTGTTTTTCACGTCTGCTCATTGTAATTATTCACTTGAAAAATAGAAAATAACCACATTGCAATTTTTATATTGCTTGAAAGATTTTGTGGGAGTATGGAAGCTATAAGGGAAAAAAATAAAGTTAGTTAGAAGAAGACATTAGGAGAGAGATAGGAGGGATACATTAGGAAAGAAGTAAGGAAAGAAATAACGAGCCGGGTGGTGGTGGCACACGCCTTTAATCCCAGCACTCGGGAGGCAGAGGCAGGCAGATCTCTGGGAGTTCGAGGCCAGCCTGATATACAAGAGCTAGTTCCGGGACAAGGCACCAAAGCTACAGAGAAACCCTTTCTCGAAGAAAAAAAAAAAAAAAAAAACGAAAAAAAGAAAGAAAAAACGAGAAGAGAGACCCTGAAGATGTGTGTGTGTGTGTGTGTGTGTGTGTGTGTGTTTCTTTTTCACCAGCCAAGGGAATTAAGTTTTATTCCCTCAGATTAAAAAAGTCAGTTGAGTGATTAGTTGGCCAATGCACACCTTTCCTTCAGCTCCTGAGGTGCTAAAAGCTGCTCTTTACAGCAGCAAAATTTTATGCTTAGCTAGTTGTTATTGAGTCAAAAGCAGGCACCAAATTAGATGAACTGAGAAGATTGTAACTAGTAACTAGAATTGAAAATAGACCTAAGTTTGAGTGACTGAGTGACATATATTGCTGATTCTTAAAGCCCTGCTTAGGAATCACACACATTCCACGGGATCTTCCTGTAAACTTTGTTTAGCAGAATGTCCAAGGGATTTCAGTCCTTTCAACATTTTATCGGAAGATACAGAAGAAGCTGAACTAACTGCAGAGCAGCAGAAATTACATCATACTTGCAGCTGTGAGGGGACAGAGAGAGCTCAGGGCTATGACTCCAAGCAACATAAAGTGTTTAGATAACCTTTTAGGACAGGAACTCTGGACAAACTGGATTTTTTTTTTTTAATTTGACATAGAAGAGAATTTCAACACAGTTTGAAACAGAGCAAGAAATTATGAAACATATTTTAATATAGACGTTAATAACCATGAGAGTTAGGTGAAAGAGAGGCATTGGGACAAAAGTAAGAGCCACCCGAAAGCATGGGTGAACTATTAAAACTAAGACGTGCCTAAGGATGGGCAAAGGGCTCCTCAAAGAGAGCCCGAGGCAATTGTTTTCACATGGGGTCTGCATGCAGTTCTGCAGTCTTTAGAATTACAGCTCAAAATATCTCTAAGAAATCTTTGCATTCTGATAAGTGAGACTATCAGGTGGCTCTGGAGATGCCTTGGGTAAAATTACAATCTGATAAGAGAAAACCAGGAGCCACTAGGGCTGCACAGGAGTTTAGTGCCCTCCCCTGTAAGAAGATTTCTGTCTGGATCCTAGAAAACTGCAGGCATACAGCTGAAGGAGAAAAATGATAGTTAATGGCCCTGGAATTTGCTTCCCTATGGTTGAGAACTTATAACCAGACTCCTGGGTATGGACCTCCTGTCTCTTTTCATGTCCTGATTATTTTCCATCTTTCAGACCTGTCTCGGTACTCACTCCAGACCTTAACAATCCATGGAGAACAGGCTAGGCAAAATTGTTTCTTTTTAGTAGATGATGCACACATTGGATCTCTACTGCGATCACTGTTCTCAACAGAACATGATATCTAATGACTATCATCCCAGCACTTAGAAGGCTGAGGCAACAGAGACACCACAAGTTGGAAGCCAGCCATCATGAGATCTGGCCAGCACAGTCTATAAGACAAACAATGCAAAATCACACTGGTCCACTATGAAGTACCTGAAGAGGGAGACCTTTTCAGCAAGGCTTGGCAATTTTTCATCTGCAGGGTGTAGTTTCTCTGCCACTCTGTGAGGTTCTGCAATGCTCTATCCTGCTGGATGAGTCTTTCCTGCTGACTCATTGCAAGAGAGGACACCTGGAAGACTGTGATAAAGGCACACAATCCTCATCAAACACTGACATTTTACAGGGAAGTAATCCCCAAACAAGAATCAAAGAAAACTAATGGTGAGAATGAGGACATAATTTTCTTGGCTTTTGATTTTTGTTTAAAATTACCCAAGAATCAAGTATTACAAAGGACACAAAAAAAAAAAAAAAAAAAAAAACGAAACAACAACAAAAAACCTCTTGGCTGCTAATTTTTCTTTTGCTTACCCAGCTTCACACCCTAAGAGCAGACAAAATTATTAAGTTATTTAACACATTTTCCCAGAGATACTTTAATTAAAATAAGATCAATATAAAATTCCTCTTCAACAGTTTATTCAAAGGGTGATATACCCTGTTTACATGCTGGTGAACATTTGGTTTTATTACTTAAGTATATTTAAGTATTCATTTCCTTAAGTACACAAAAAGCTCTCACTCATTGACTCATTATAAAAGGGTAGGAATCCACTGTTTTGATGTGTCATAAGTTACTTCAGCAGTTTGGGGACACTATTTTAAAAATTAACTAAGTGATTGATTTTGCTTGTTTGTTTTGCAGAGCTAAGAATTGAACCTAGGGTCTCAAGCATGTTGGACAAGACCACTATGATTTTATTATCAAATAGCTAATCCTCTTGAATGACTGAATGACGGGGGGGGGGGGGGGGGGGGGGGGGGGGGGGGGGGGGGGGATTGAGGGGAGGTGGGGAGGATGCTGCTTAAAAAATCTTAGTCTTGGGGCTGGGGAGAGAGCTCAGTTAATATAAATTGTTGTTGAGCTAGCCTGAGGACCTGCATTCCTAGAAACTGTGTAAAAAGCTGGGTGTGATGGTGCACACTTGTAATCCTAACACTAACAAGATGGAGGTAATTGAATCTCTGGAACTCCCTGGCTGGCTAGCATACTCTACTTGGCAAGTTGCAGGCCAAAAAGAGACTGTGTGATAATTAAAAAAGGTGGAGGGCTCCTAACGAATGATACCTCATGTTGTTCTCTGTCCTCCACACATATGCAACCATATCAACATAAACTGGTAAGAGCACACACACACACACACACACACACACACACACACACACACATGCGCGCGCGCATGCACGCGTAAACAAATCAACACACAAAAAAGAATCTTAGCCTCGCTTCATTTTACACATTTTAAAGTGATTCTTGAGGTGAGAGGCTAGCTGCTGGGTGGTGGCGGCACATGCCTTTAATCCCAGCCCTCGGGAGGCAGAGGCAGGCAGATTTCCATGAGTCTGAGAACAGCCTGGTCTACAAGCATTAGTTCCAGGACAGGCTCCAAAGCTACAAAGAAACCCTGTCTCAAAAAACAAAACAAACAAATAAAAACAAAACAAAAAGAATGAGTGGCTGAATCAAAATTTTGTGGACATCTAATTTTCATTCAGTAGTTCTGTTACCCTCCATCTTTGCTGTTTTACAGTGTTACAAGGATATCTGCATTTCAGGCTCTCCTCTGAGATTGAAATTCTTTTCACAGATGTAAGCAATTGGACGCATTTTCTTGTCTGTGAAATGTGTGATTACAGCCGTTGTAAACACCACACCTTCGGCTTTCTAGTTCTTTCCTTTGCTTTTTTGTGCTGTGAGAATTAACTAGCAAGCCTGGAATCAGGCTGAGCAGAGAGTCTCAGGTTCACACGGTAATGACCTTCAGACAATCTAGGTAATGGTGCAGCCTGTAACTGTGGGACTGAGAATCTGGGAACCAGACTGTGACAAACTTGTCTGCATTGCTTATTGATGACAGCATGCCAGATGATTTGACCTTGGTTTTAATGAGACCCTGAGAGATGCCTTCTGCTGAGGCAGGTTGTCTAGTCTCAGCAAAATTACCTATGCAACACATAAAAAATCTCCAAGCAAGACTCTGGGTTTTCTTGACACCACAGTATTCTTGGCAAACACCAGTGATTCTGGAGCCAACAGAAAACCATGAAATAGTGGAAAGAGAGCAAGGGAAAGGTACCGTTTCTCTGTGCCAAAATACCTATCTTTCCTTTCCCCCTATTTCTCTTGAGACAGTCTCTCATGTATCCCATGCTGGCCTCAAACTCGCCATTTTGCCAAGCATGACCTTATACTCCTGTTCCCCCCTGATTCCTCCCCTCATTTGCGGGGAATGCAAGCCTGATTCACTATTCCCCTAACTCCTATATCCTTCTAATAAGAGATTTTACTATCAATATCCTTACTTCTGTGCCATTAAGTTGTACTCTTATCATGTAATAAACTAATTTTTTTTTTAAATTCTCAGCAAACAAAACTGTAAGAGCCTGTTGTTTTGGTCCTGTCTCTTTTAGCAATCAGTCCAGTGCCTAGAGATTTTGTTGGCATATCACATGCTTCAAAGATTGATTTTGGTAAGCTATAAGCTACTATGTACATTTTGTAGTTTGACATTTGGCTTGCTTTATGGTGACTTATTTACATAGCTGAATTTTTTTTATTCTTTTTCCAATACACTGTCATTTTTTATTTTAGGTTGCATATTTTAGATAAAAAAAAGACTAGAAAGGATGTATTGTGGTGTAGAATTTAAGTTGGAAGAAACAATGGTATTGTTAGTGAATGTTAGTCTAGTCTAGCAAATATCATTAATTTAAAAAGTATAAATAATTATCATTATGCTAAGACCCCTGGTAACTTTAGTTTCACATGTGAAACTATAATCTCATGTCTATATTGGTATATTTACACTTTGATGTTGAATTAGGAGCGGCGGCAGGGCTGCGTCCCCAGCACCCGGCCGCCCGCATGGCTAGCTTATGCCAGAAATAATTACACGGAAACTGTATTCTTTCAAACACTGCCTGGCCCGGCTAGTTCCAGCTTCTTATTGGCTAGCTCTTACATATTGTTCTAACCCATTTCTAATATTCTCTGTAGCCCACGAGCTGGCTTACCAGGGAGGATCTTAACCTGCATCTGTCTGGCGTGGGAGCATCATGGCGACTCTCTCACTAAGCTTCTTTCTCCCAGAATTCTCTTCTGTTTTCTCCACCCACCTAAGGGTGGGCCTATCAAGGGGCCTAGGCAGTTTCTTTATTA